ACAGCCTGGGCTGGAGTCCTTTCCACAGTCTCTTTGGAAGCAGTTCTGATCAGCTCCAGAGCTGCCTCTTCTGTCTGTTTCCATCAGAGGTAGGGATACAATGTTTCCTTTCCAAATAGGAGGAAGGGTACCCAAAGTTTTTAAATCCATTTAGAGATCACAAAAGGCTAGCCAGGCACCGGGTGGCTCATCAGGCCTGTAATCCTAGCTACTCAGGAGGCTGAGATCTGAGGATCACAGTCAAAGCCAGCCCAGGCAGGAAAGTCCCTGAGACTTATCTCCAATAAATACTCAGAAAACCGGATGTGGTGCTGTGGCTCAAGTGGTAGAGTGTGTGCCTCGAGCTGAAGAGCTGAGGGACAGCGCCCAAGCCGAATTCAACCCTGCGACCGACATAAAAAAGAAAGGAAGAAAGAGAGAGAGAGAGAGAGAGAGAGAGAGAGAAAGGAAGAAAGGAAGGCAGGCAGGCAGGCAGACTGTCACCAGGAGAAGTGTGGCGTCTAGGGGCAGTGCTGGCCTGCACCCCTGCCTCCATGGGCCTAGCAGAGTGGAGTCTGCAGGCCCACACTGGGGGGGAGGGGGGACTGGACACGGCCACCCTCAGCATTGACCTCAGCCCTCGAGAGACCAAGCAGGATTCCCCCCCCACCCCACCCCCCGCTTCAATTCTCACGTGGCAGATGCAACACACTGTGCATGCTGACCTACACTCAGACCAGGCTGGCAAGGCCTGGTGTGCATGCTGACCTACATTCAGACCAGGCTGGCAAGGCCTGGTGTGCATGCTGACCTACACTCAGACCAGGCTGGCAAGGCCTGGTGTGCATGCTGACCTTCTACACTCAGACCAGGCTGGCAAGGCCTGGTGTGCATGCTCACCTACACTCAGACCAGGCTGGCAAGGCCTGGTGTGCATGCTGACCTTCTACACTCAGACCAGGCTGGCAAGGCCTGGTGTGCATGCTGACCTTCTACACTCAGACCAGGCTGGGCAAAGCGGGGAGCGGTCAAGGTGGCAGAAACAAGAGCCACCGCCAGCTACCTGGGTGCACCCCGCTGTGTACTGTGTGTTCCGTAGGACACCCTTAGCACACAGCCAGGGCTCTGCTTTCGTGGGAGACCCAAAAAGAGGAAGCCAGTCCCCCCAGGCATTCCCCTGGGAGTTCCCCAGCTGCTCCTCTATTGTGGGATGACATTGTCAGCAGTTGCCCACTTGCCAGCTCACATAGAGCCTTTTTTTTCCCCAGAGAGAAACCACCCACCCCTCCCGACATCTACTAGAAAGCGCTCCTGTAGGCCACACTCAGGAGCTGGGCAGGCAGTGGCCTGAGAGGCCTAGAGGTGGGGAGGGGCCTCATCCAGGCTCCAGCCAGAGGCCTGGCAGAGCCATGGAGGTGCTGAGACCGCGGGGCAGGGTTGTCCAGGAAGCAAGATCAACTTGGGGAAGAGCTGCGTCCTGAGCACACACTGCCTCACCTCACAGCATGTCGCCCAGACCCCTCTCCCGGGGGGCTCCTGGTCATCTCCGGCCAGGCCGTGTGGCCAGACCAGCTCCTGGCGGGAGGAAGGATCGTCTCCAGTGGGGCAGCTCCGCTGCAAGGCATGGAGGTCCACTGCACTTGACTGCAGGCCCCACACTAAGGGGTGGCAGGATGCCTGTGCTCCGCTTCGTCGGAGGCCTGCTGCCGCACCCACCGGCACCCACCCCAGCCCTCCAGGCAGGACTGCAGCCACTGGCACCTGGAGCCCCTTCTCCAGAGAGGCCCACACCACCTTAATTATCTGCGGGCCTCTGATTCTGATTACAGTACAACCCACAGGATTAGCTCACCGGATTAGCTGCTCAGGTAACACTCGATTGTCAGGGGCAAACGCATGACTCAGCTATCTTTGGGGTAAATAATTTAACCGCAGGCCCAGTACCAAGTGCTCCCCCACAGGCCCGCCTCAGACCTGCTGCCCCTGCTCCCCACCTGCTCACGGGAGCCAGAACACTCAGGCATCCCTCCCACCGGCAGCCTCCAGCCCCGGGGTCCCCACACCCAGCCTGCGCACCACCTCCAGGTAAGCCTCACCCCTGCACCTCAATGCCAGGCCACAGGGGAGACGGCCGGCGGGCAGACAGGACCCAGATCCCACCGTTTCTCTGGAGGGCACTCAGGCGCAAAGCATCTCTGTGCCTGGATTCCTAGGGACTTGGGGTGAGCATCAAAGCACCCAAGGCCCCCTAGGTGTTGGGGTCTGCAGGGCTAGGCACCCAGGGCTGGCCACCCCCGACCGCCGACAATGGGCCACAGCCAGCACCGGGTGCTCCAGCAGAACAAAGGGTGTTTGCTCAGAACTGCCACAGGGAATTTTTAAAACAAGTACTTTGGAACTTGTAAACAGAACGGACCCAAGGCTGCCAGGTGGACAGGGTGGCTTGAGTGCTCTCCAGCACACAGGAAGGGAAGGAGGCCATGGGCGGCCCAGTGCTCCAGGAGGCCATGGGCGGCTCAGTGCTCCGGAAAGGGCTTTGGCTCTCAGTGTCGCACAGACCTGGAGCCCAAGAGATGATGTCTGTCACCCCAGCTCCACGTCCAGCTAGCCTGCTCCTTCCAGGTGGTTTCTTGTTTCTGTGGTACAGATCTGGCACCATGGTGCTTGGTGGGGGTACGAGGCCCTTCACCAGTCCCAGAGCCTTTGGTGTCCACAGAGCAGCAGCTGGAGCTCCTGGAGGCTGGATCCTGGAGGAGGCGTGAGGTGGGCAATACAGGGAGCTGGGCAGGGGACAAGAAGCTGGAGCTGAGATTCCGTAGCACACCCACCTTTCTGTCTGACCTGTGCTGACTGAAGCCTGTGTGTGGCTGAGGCACAGCCGTTTCCTCCTCCTTGAGGAGACCGCTGGGATGCCTGAGGTGAATTTCAGGGAGGAGACCCTATGGGTTGAGGCTGAGCCTGGACAGAAGATCTGTTGGCCACCCGGAGCACCCCTAACTCACACACCAAGCCACGTGGCTCTGTCATAATTGCAGCTCCTTTTACAGATAAGAGTTTTGGAGTTCAAGGCCTGATGTCCATCCACAAAGGGCAGCAGGGCTAGGGCCTGCGGTCAGGGACAGGTGAGTCTCCTTTCCGAAGCATGTTCCTGGACTCCAAGGCCCCAACCACACCTACTTTCCCTTTCAGGTTGGCCAGTGGGGCTGGTGTGGCAGGATGGCTGCATCCCCGGAGCCCCAGAAGCAGGGTGAGGCACTGGTGCTGGTCCGACGGCAGCGCCCGGTGTCCCAGGGCCTGCTGGAGACACTGCAGGCCAGGCTGACCCAGAGCTGCGCCTGCAGTGTGCCACGTGTCCAGGCGCTGGTGCAGGACCTGGTCCCAGCCACAAGCTGGCTGCGCCACTACTGTCTGAGGGAGCACCTGCCGGGTGACGTCATGTCTGGGCTGGTCATCGGCATCATCCTGGTACCACAAGCCATCGCGTACTCACTGCTGGCCGGGCTGCAGCCCATCTACAGCCTCTACACCTCCTTCTTTGCCAACCTCATCTACTTCCTCATGGGCACCTCACACCACGTCTCCGTGGGCATCTTCAGCCTTCTGTGCCTTATGGTAGGGCAGGTGGTGGACCGCGAGCTGCAGCTGGCCGGCTTTGACCCCTCTCGGGACGGCCCAGGACATGGGGACAATGGCAGTGCCTTCAACAGCTCAGCGGTCCTGCTGGAGTCTGGGCTGCAGAGCTGCGGGCGGGACTGCCACGCCATCCGCGTTGCCACCGCCCTGACGCTGGTGACCGGGATCTACCAGGTGAGAGCCCCACTGCACGTGGACGGGTCTGGCCGGCTCAGCTGCTGGCGGGGGCCCTGGGGCGCTTGCCACCCATCAGCAGTGTGAGCCTGGGAGGAGGCATCCTTCAGCCGCAGGCCAGGGCCTCCGAGCGGGCACAGGAGCGCGGCCCCAGGCAGGGCCTCCGAGAGGGCACAGGAGCGCGGCCCCAGGCCTCTGAGAGAGCACAGGAGCGCGGCCCCAGGCAGGAGGCGGGCAGTATGGGAAGTGTTCAATTGCAGCTCCGTGGGGTGGGCCTGGGTCTGTCTGTCCCATTCCCTTTGTCAGTCCTGTGGGTGCGCGGGAGGGAGCTGGGTAGGCAGCGCTTCAGCACTCAGAGACCCGATTCTGAAACAAAACCAAGTTCTGCCCGTGAGACATGAGTGTCCACTCCAGGATGGGTGGCCGTGTCCCCCAACGTGGAGTTAGGCCACAAGCGGGCTGGGTGGCTCAGCCAGCTGACCATGCTCTTTTCCAGGTCCTCATGAGTGTCCTCCGGCTTGGCTTCGTGTCCACCTACCTCTCACAACCACTGCTGGACGGCTTCGCCATGGGGGCCTCTGTGACCATCTTGACCTCGCAGCTCAGGCACCTGCTGGGGGTGCGGATCCCCCGGCACCAGGGCCCGGGCATGGTGGTCAGCACGTGGCTGAGCCTGCTGCGCAGCCTGGGGCAGGCCAACCTGTGTGATGTGGTCACCAGCGCCGTGTGCCTGGCGGTGCTGCTGGCGGCTAAGGCGCTCTCGGATCGCTTTCGGCACCGCCTGCGCGTGCCGCTGCCCACAGAGCTGCTGGTCATCGTGGTGGCCACGCTCGTGTCCCACTTTGGGCAGTTCCACGAACGCTTCGGCTCCAGTGTGGCTGGTAACATCCCCACGGGCTTCGTGGCTCCACAGGTGCCACACCCCAGGCTGATGTGGCGTGTGTCACTGGACGCCGTGTCCCTGGCCCTCGTGGGCTCAGCCTTCTCCATCTCGCTGGCAGAGATGTTCGCCCGCAGCCACGGCTACTCTGTCCGGGCCAACCAGGAGCTGCTGGCCGTGGGCTGCTGCAACGTGCTGCCTGCCTTCTTCCACTCCTATGCCACTAGTGCCACCCTGGCCAAGAGCCTGGTGAAGACCGCCACTGGCTGCCGGACACAGCTGTCCAGCGTGGTCAGTGCTGCGGTGGTGCTGCTGGTCCTCTTGGTGCTGGCCCCGCTGTTCCGAGACCTACAGCGGAGCGTGCTGGCCTGCATCATTGTGGTCAGCCTCAGGGGGGCCCTGCGGAAGGTGAAGGACCTGCCGGGGCTGTGGCGGCTGAGCCCAGCGGATGCCCTGGTCTGGGTGGCCACGGCCGTCACTTGCATCCTGGTCAGCACGGAGGCCGGGCTGCTGGCCGGGCTGCTGCTCTCGCTTCTCAGCCTGGTAGGCCGCACACAGCGCCCTCGGGCCACCCTGCTCGCCCGTGTCGGAGACTCGGCCTTCTACGAGGACGCCATGGAGTTTGTGGGCCTCCTGCCTCCGCCGGGCGTGCAGGTGTTCCGCTTTGCAGGGCCGCTCTACTATGCCAACAAGGACTTCTTCCTGCAGTCACTCTATAGACTCACAGAGCTAGATGCAGGGCGTCTGGCCACCCGGAAGAAGGAGCAGAACCTAGAGGTGGTGGTCAGTGAGAGGAACCCCCCTGATGGCAAAAACCTGGGCTCTCTGAGCAGCGAGGCCAGGCTGATGCCCCTGGAAGTCGGTTTCCACACAGTGGTCCTCGACTGTGCCCCTCTGCTGTTCCTGGATGTGGCCGGTGTGGCCACGCTGCAGGCCCTGCGCAGGGATTACAGAACCCTGGGCGTGGCCCTGCTCCTGGCCTGCTGCAGCCCCCCCGTGAGGGACACGCTGAGGCGGGGGGGCTTTCTGGGGGAGGATCAGGGAGCGGAGGATGAGCAGCTCTTCCCCAGTGTGCATAGTGCTGTGGAGGCTGCGCATGCCAGCCACAGGGAGCTGAGGACCGCTGACTCCACCCTCTAGCAGGGCCAGGGCCTGGTCACCCGTCTCTCCTCCCCTCTGGGAGCTGAGGCCCACGTTGGCAAGTCATCGCTGTCCTCCTTCCCCAGGGCAATGCAAGGTCTAGTGGTGTCTGAGAGACGTGACTTTGGGACATCTCTTCCCTGGAGAAGCCAGAGAAGCCAAACTGGAAGAGTGGTACTCTGAACACGCCCAAGAACCCCACACACTCAATGCTGAGCACCTGCTGTCCTGATGGGCGCTCAGCCTGGTGCTAGCACAAGGCTCCGAGGCCGGCATGCTCAGAAGAGCCGTGTCTGCTTTGACATCCTGTGTTGCCATCTTATTTGAAGAGGATCCTGCAAACCATCCCCAGGCCTACTTAGCCCCTGCCCCACTGGGCTGCAGTCAGACATGCAGCCAAGGCAAGATGGTCTGTCTGTGGAAGGCCACCCTCCCCCAGCGCTCCTCCACCTCATGCTGACCCCGGCAGGGACTCACAGGACAGCCATCCACTCCGGGCCAAATGACCAACACAACCTCAGACTGGCTGGGGACAGCAGCCCTGGTCAGCTCAGCCAAAAACACACAGCACGGCGGATGCACACAGCCCTGTGCTGTGTAGTCCAGCCCCATCTGAACCCCCAGACGACCTTCAGGGAGAAACCACTGTACCGAGAGGCCACCCCCAGCACACAGGGGCCTTGGGGACCCCCGCACAGCCAGCCCAGACGTCCCCCCACCACCAAGAGAGAAATAAACAGGAAGCACAGGTCAGTGTTCCTCAGAGTAGCTCCCATTCTGTGTTCCACTACGAAGCTCCACCGGCAACCAAGCATGCGCCCCACGTCTAGCCCTGTGAGCCCAGCCGCTCCCGGCCGCCCCCCCCCCCACCGATACACGCACCTGGCTGTGACAAGATCCAGGAGCCAGTGTGTGCGGACCTGCCCGATGCCACCGTGAGGGACGGCGCCCACGTAGGCGAGGTTCAGCCGCTGGTCCCAGCTGAGGTCATAGCGGTCAGCCTGGCTGTGGGGCAGAGGGGGGCTGCAGAAAGGACAGACAGGGCGCAGTGGTGACTGACTAGGAGGGCCCAGGGGATGGACGGTGTGTGTCCTCCCCTGACGTGGATAAAGCGCCCCTTGCTCCAGGAAAGAGGTGCGGGCTGGCTCCCACGGGATGCCTGGCAACTGTTCGGCCTGGCAGCTGCCTGCTGGACTGGGCTGGGCTGGCCACAGGGGCTGGGGCGGGCAGCGCGGCCAGGCGGCCCGGGAGCCTCCAGGTCCATTGGCTGGGTACTGCGGGGAAGTCCGGGCTCCTCTCTCGGGGTGCACGCCCCACGGGGGGAAAACGTGGTGCCCCTAGAGGGTCACGGGTGCCCACGGAGGGGGGCTTCCCCGCACTCCAGGCCCGCGGAGCTGACACAAAGGCGTTTCCCGGCGGAGCCCGGGCCGGCGCCGCGTGGGGCTGAGCGGCCTGGGCTGGGGGAG